GGTCACTCCAATGCCTTTTATGATGTCCCTCTGAAATCTATCTGAATCACATTAAATTGGATATAAAGATGTGCAGACACATACATCACAGTAAATGGTGTGGTGGAGCATCGCTCGCCAAGAATCCCACCTCAGCAATCGGGTTATAGAATCGGCTTTAGATCCTATTAATAATTCACAATCTTGTTAGGGGAGAACAAACATTTCTGTTCAAGCAATTTGAGTTGTGGGATTGTTATTTGGGGCGGGAGCTGCGGTGTGAGAGCCGGGGAGGCTGCGAGATGTAAGCTCGGCTGTGTGTGGAAGAATAACTCGCTGCTATTTCACAGTCTCTGCTTTCTTTATTAAAGCGCCGTCACAGTAAACACGGCCCGCCTCGACTCAGCTGTGCAGCCGCTCTCCGCTCTCGCCGGAGGACGACCAGCTTTTATTTTTATTATCAAGGACACACTCGCCCCACCTGAACAATCACACTGAAAGTCATATTACAGCGTGTTAGCGCCGCGGCTAACAGTTGCTTTCATTACGAATAAATGCACAAACAACGGCGCTGTCTCAGCTGAAGACTGGATCTTTGACTGATTTTTGTATGTTATTATATATGATATGATCTTTCTGGACCCTTTTTGTTCAATGTTATTGATTCTTCAGGTTTTCTATAAAATGTCAGAGACGTCTTTAAATATGACCCCCAAAAACCATAAAATGAGAGATTACAGTTCAGGAGAGGAAAAGCATTGATAAACATTAATAATAATGAATGCAGCTATAATATACTGTATATAATATATATAATATAAAGTCATAATTCTGTAAAGATTGTTTGTTGCATCTAAATTAAACTAAAACTTATTAAAAGAGGAAACATTCCAGATATTATAGTTTGTTATATTAATTAAAATATATTATAAAATAAAACTATAAAATCTGAAATAAAACAACTTCAACTCCAGAGAAAAACACAGAAAAAGAAGTTGCAATAAGAATCTCTTCAATAAAATATCAGACATCATGAATTAAATGTGACAACAGATTATTTTAAGAATATTCAGAGAGAAGTGAAATGTTTGTTTTATAAAAGGAGGAAGACGATGAAGACGATGATGATGAAACCTGTCGGGTTTATGAGCAGAAGTTACCAAAAGATAAACACTTTAATTCATTCATTTTATTAATAAACTGAAACTGAATTTATGTATTTTGTGAATATTTGGAAAGAAAATTAAACAGACAGAAATATAATAATATAATAACATTATTATAATATAATAATATTATAATAATAATTTGCTGTAAAATACAGTAAGATTTACTGTCTTTCTGTATTTTACAGCTGATCAGAAACATTAAACTGATGAAGAATCACAGTCGTCACTTTATCTCATACAAACAAAGATTTAGTGTAAAGTCGTCATAATCAATAATTACATTTACTGTAAAATTCAATAATTATTATCAGTTTCATTTTTACTCGACGTCAGTTCAAATTCTGACCTCTGCAAATGTTTCTCTTGTTGCTGTTTGTAAAATCTTTGATTATTTTATTTAATTATTTAATAACGCAGCATTTTTTATTAATTTACCCAGTTTGAAATATTTTAACGACTTGCTGACCAACACAAACATTAATAGAACAAAACACCATCAAAGCTTCATTTCAGTAGCAATGTTTTATTAATAGTAATATTAATAATAATAATAATAATGTTGTAATAACACAAAGACGGCATTGAAGTTGAAATGTGTAGTTGATTAGTTGAACTTATAATTTAATTTGAGGATCTTTGTCAAACTGACAGTTTACAGAAGTTAACAATCACATTGAAAACAGGAATATTGAATATTAAATGTTATTTATCAAACGTACATTTACTGTTTTATTGAACTCATTGTCTAATTATTGTGTAATTACTGTGTAATTACTGTGTAATTATTGTGTAATTATTATGTAGGATTTAGTCCCACGCGAGGGAGAAACTACGGTGGCTCATGAAGGTCCTCTCTGGATCCAGTTTTGGTTTGTCCGCTCTGGGCTCCTGTAGAAACATGGCGGACTCTACCAGAAGACGACCCGCTGCCTCTGTAGATAAAAACGTCTCATTCTAATAAACACAATGATTCTTCTTATCAGCTGATTAAACGATAATGAAAACCTACCTATAGATATTATATTAATGTTTCACACTGGAGCTTTAATATTCGTAAAGTCTAAAAGTATCTGAGTAACACTCCTCTAATCAGGGGTCGTACCTCCGGTCGGGCCTGATGTGATCCGCTGGGTTCGGGTCCAATCGGTGCCGTAGGTCAGTTTTAAAAAACGATATTAAATATATATGTAATATTTTATGAATAGTGCATGCAACTGTCCGATCAAAGCTCTACTCTAATGAACGCTTTATTTTGAAATTCAGTCTGTATTTGGTATTTTGAGGTTTCAGTGGATGTTTTTACATCAATGAAGGATTCAGAATTTCCTGATATTCATGGAGAGAAAACAGCTTTTATTTGCTGTTACTGATTAAGATGAAGAATAATGTCTGTGGGTTTGTCTTTGCATTGAACTCGAGGAGACATTTTCATTGGCTGCTCTTTGTTTTATTTTTATTTATCATTCAGAATTTAGTTATTGGCATTTATTTCAGTGGTTCTGGATCCAATTCAATCCATGATCATTAATATTAGGCTGTTATATCTTCATCCTGCACTAAATAATAAAGTATAAACATCACAACTGCTGATTCTTATTAATATGAATAAAAGTGGAAGAAACAGATTTATGATTTATTTATTGATTATTGTTATTTCAGTTGATATTGTCCTTTATATCATAATTAAAAGCATTGAGAGCTTTAATGGAACCTTTCTGATGTTTCTGAATAGAGACTGTATATTGATTATTGATTATTGATTAATGAACTGATCGGGCGTACAGCAGACGGCATTAATGGATGATTTTGTGTTATGAATAATGTTGTTGTTATTTGTGGATGTTTGTTTGTTGTTTATGTGTTTTGTTGTCAGACAGTTGACATGTTTGTTTTGTTGTTTGTTAATGTGTCTGAATAATCTCATGATCTTCATTCATTCATTCATTCATTCATTCAAAATAACTGACTGTTTTCATTTTTCTTTCATTCAGAACGAGTTTTATTTATTGTATTGTGAACTTTATTGATCTTTTATAAATCTGTTTGTCTGTAACTCAGATCTGTTTCATGACTCAACATTTCTTCCTGTTTCTGTTTGAACCTTAAGTTTATGATTCATTGTGTGTGTGTGTGTGTGTGTGTGTGTGTGTGTGTGTGTGATGATTTAATTTCATTATCATCAGTATTATTAATGTATTTATTTTTGTTTAAATTCATGTTTTTCACTGAAAACGAGATTCTGGAACCTCAAATTAAAACACTTAATTTCACACAATAAAATTGAATTATTCTCCCTCAGCGTAACTGACGACCGCTCGCTTCAACTGGAGGAAAAGTAATTTAAACTATTTTATGACATTTTATAGGCTCGAACTCTGGTTCCCAAACTACGGTACGTGTACCACTGGTGGCACGCAAACTCCCTCTAGCGGTGGATTATTGGATTATTGTTTATTTATTATTATGTATTTTGGGGTTTTATTGTCTTTGATGGATAGAGACAGCTGTAGAGTGACAGAAAGAGGAGAGAGAGAGAGAGAGGATGAGACGGGCCGGAGGGTCGGGGTTGAACCCACGGTCAGCGTACGGTACGAGAGGCTGCAGCTCTACCAGGTGAAATATTCTGTAATATTACAGAGATAAAGTTTAGTGACTTCTTTTAAATCACTTCTGAAGACCCGTTTTTATAGACCTGCCTTCATGTGTTCATCTTTATTCTATTTTATCTTATGCATGTATTATTATTATTTTTATGGCTCTTATTATTGTATATTTTTATTTGTGTTTATTATTTTTATTTCTATATTTAATTACATTTTGTGTATCACAGATATCATTTTGCTTCATCTATCAAAGCACTTTCTAGTTTTTAAAAAGTGCTTTATAAAAAAGTTATGAACATTATTGTTATTATTATTATTATTATTATTGGTATTATTAGTATTTTGTTTCAGTATCAGCCTGTTACATGTGATGGTTAGATACTGGGCGGATATCAGATGGCTCCAAACAGGAACTGTAGGGAGGAGAAATGTGGACCAGGAGGATCCTTTTCCACCAGACCGGCTCTGGTTTCTAAACCAGTCCACGATAAATAAAGTTGCATCCTGTGTAAACTACAACTGAACAGGGTCGACCTGTGCTGCTGGATTTTAACGTCGGTCAAAATGGTTGAACTGGGTCTGATACTGTCTGACGCGGCCTAGAAGATTCATCAGTGACAAAAATGATTAGTTGTAGTCATGTACTTGCACTGAGCCCTGCGGAGGTCAGTGATAACAGCAGGGTGGAGAATAGCTGGGGGACAAACGCTGCCACGAGTTCGTGTGGTCGAGGTTTTAGAAGTAAAATGACTTTATGCAGAATAAAGGAACGTTTGAAGAAGTGACGAAGAATGTTTCTGCTTCGTCTTATTAACGTGGCGACCCCTCAGATTCATCCTGCGACCGCTCATGGGGGTCTCGACCCACAGGTTGGAAACCACTGCTTTATAACACATTTAGAAAACTGTTTAAAAAGTCACTTATTATTTATGGATATTTCTTTATTTCTAGTCTTTCTTCTTGTTTTGCTCTATTTTTCCTCCTTTCCTTTTTTTGTTTCTTGTTTTTTACATTCATGTTAATATTTACTTTCTATTTTCATTGTTTTTATCTTTAATTATCTTTCACAGTGAGGCGGTTCCACTTATTTAAACTTATTGTAAATAATTTTACAGAACGTTTTCTGGCAAGAATAAAACAATGTTTTACAATGTGTGGAACTTAATGTTAAAAATAATATCAAGAACAATAATAATAATAATAATAATCATAAATATAGATATATATACACAACATACACCACCTCATACACAGACTGTCTGTCATGTTATTTTGCATCAAAACAAACAATAACACAAACAATAACACAAACAAACACAGGTGCAGTGAATATAAATGTGTATGAAGATAAATCTTTACAATCAATATTTGTTTTTGAGCAGCAACAACAACAAACATGGTTTAAAAAATATAAACAATTCAAACATTTAAGACGTTCTCGCAGAAAGAAGAAAGAAAGAAAGAAAGAGTTTCCAGTCTTTACTGGCAGTCAGGAGGAGGAGGAGGAGGAGAAATAGATGAAGAGGATGATTATCTTGTCATTCGCTGCCTCCTGCTGGAGGAAATATACTCCTACACACACAGAACTTCAAAATAAAAGCTGATTTGAACTTTGGTGTGAGAGTTTAAAAACTGTAAAATAATAATAAGGTAAAATGAGTGTTTCTCATCTCTGTAGGGATCCTTTCCATAATACTGTCTGAAAATAAATGTTTACAATGAATAATGTTTATTTCTGATCAGCTCACAACAACAAATATGGTTTAAAAAATATAAACAAACATAAAATATGTTCCCAAAGAGAAAGAAAGTGTCTCCAGTCTTCAGTGACTGTCAGGAGGAGGGCGGGGGGGAGAGAGAAATGGATGAAGGAGATTATGTGTTGTCATTCGTTGCCCCCTGCTGGTAGAAATACACTCCTACACACACAGAACTTCAAAATAAGAGCTGATTTGAACTTTGGTGTGACAGTTTAAAAACTGTAAAATAAGACTTTAAAACGAGTTCTCAGACGACTCTGGAATGTTCATCTAGTTCCAGGTCACTGGGAGTGATTGTCCAGTGTCACCGGTATCACCAGTATCACCAGTATCACCAGTATCACCAGTGTCACTGCTCCTCTGTGCTGGAGGAGTTCTGTCCGACGATGATGCTGCTGTACATCTTCTGCTGCTCCTCTTTATACGAATCCTTCACTTTTCCTCTTTTCAGTCCTCCATCCCTGAAACAGACAACGACGAGGACGAGCAGTAAAATATCACTCTTGTTATTATTATTATTATTATTATATTATATAGATTCAGTCAAACAACCGTTGTAAACTTTAATCATCAATAAATAATATGTTAAACACAAACTAGATGGCAGATACATGTGAGGAAATATAAGTGAACTGCGAGAGTTGTGAAAAATATTTCTCTCTGAAATTAAGTGGAAGTAATAATTACTCCTGTAAAGTACCTCAGAACTACAGATACTCTATAAGTACAGTACTTGCTGACAATGAGTGAAGTAATCTGAGTATTTGGTGGATGATCCTCACCATGCCAGGTCCAGCAGTCCTCCCTGTTGAGCGATGGCAGATTTCACTCTGTTGGCAAACTGAGCTGCATCCTCACCGTCCTGCTCACAACACAGAGTACAGATTACACATTGTCTACAGCATTGACCTACGCCCTGTATCTAGAGCACTGATTTCTGTCCTGTATCTGTCCTGACTTCTGTAACTTAGGTATTATTGTCAAATGGAGTCAATGAACTCTTTACTGTCTTTGAAAGACAATTAGTGTCAGATTATTGGAGCAAATTATTACATTATTTTATTATTTTAAATTTGTTTCCAGTGAGATATTGTTGAGTTTATATAGTGACTTTGCTGCTCTAGAAACAATATTAAGTTATATTTAATATATAAATTAATTGTCTGAGAGACAGAGGCCGGCTATATAAAACTATAATCTGTGTTTTTTTCTTATATTGTTGTAATGATAATAGTCTATAATTATGTTAAAATGCAGACGTAACAAGACAAAACAGATGAGAGAGGGAGACTCGACTCGGTTTGAAGGTTCAGTTAGCTTTACACAGAAACAGTCGGTACTTTTTATTTTTATACTTTGAGCACATTTCAGAGCCTTTTTCACTTTTACTGGAGTAAAGAATCACTTCCTTTTTAAGTATCTTCACTTCTACTTGAGTAAAGACTGTGTGTACTTGTGCCTCCTCTGAGTGATATAAATGCACATACATAAAATGTGGTGTACTCTGCAGAGAAGCTGTCTATATGGTCCAACTTTAGTCTCACTTCTTTGGTCACAGTAGTGTTAAACCACAATATGTTTTATTATTTGACTTCCAGTCAGCTGATAATATTATGTCTGCTTTGCTGTGAAATAGATAAAGAAAAACACATAAACAAGAAAAGGGCCCTTAAATATTTTAGTTATATCTAATAATTTAAATCAGATCAGCTTCAAACTGTGTGTAATGAAAGTGTGTGTTCCTGTTGAGAGGAGGAGCTGTTTGAGTTGTACCTGTATGGTCATTGGAGGGAGGTACCACACATTGACCACGATGGCCCAGCTGGTCATCATCCGGAGCAGATAACTGACCATGTTGTATTTACTGCTGTTCCAGAAAGCATCGCCGAACTGAGGGTCGTACTGAGACACAGAGAGAGAGCGAGTTCATCCTTTTATGGTCACTTCCTGTTGTGTACTAGCAGTGCCTGAAACGGGTCAGTACTTCTGATTTTTGTCCTTGAGTTTCTTTACTGCGGTCACCTCTGGTGAGTATGGCCGTACCCACCACTGAGTTCACTAGACCTCTGTATTTCTTCAGAATATTTGCCTAAAAATAACTTTACCTTGATGCCCCCAAACCTCCCTCACAAGTTCAGTGTTTGGACCTCTGTATTTCTAAAACCCTGCGTACAGCAGTGCTGAAGGGTTCTCATAAACAACTGCGTAACTAACGCAGATTAACACTTAAAATGAATTAGAAACAGCATAATCATTTATTGTTGTTCACTACTTACTGAGCAGGAGGGAGGGAGGGATGGTGTGTTAAGGGTATATTTTGTTCAGTTATGTTGCTATAATCTGTTGTATTATTAGTTTGTAATACAACAGATTATAATCTCTTGTAATCCTTCCTCGATTAAACATGCTTTACTAAAAGAAACAGCAAAAGAATTAAAGTTGTTCTGAATTAGGGTACTGGTCCCTTTTTTGGTCCAACTCAGGCACTGGTTCATCATTTATTTAATCAGATAAAAGTCTTGTTGAGATTAAACTGAGACCTAAACAAGACGCCACATTCTGCTTTAAAGACTCTTTATTTCAGGTGGTCTCAGCTGGTTGTTTAATCCTTTACAGCTCCTCTAAAGGTTTAACTGGTTTCCACTGGTTTTACCTTGATTGTGACCGGGTATATGGTCCCTCCAATTTCAAAGCTTCCCTTCTTGAACATCATGACTGAAGTGTTGTTGATGCAGGTTCCTGTTAGAAACAGACACACAGGCAGAAGTTATCCGACCATAAAACCACCATCATCATCCTCACATCACCAGCTACAGCAGCAGACTCTGACCTTCAGGGAATATCAGGATGGGAAGTTTGGTCTTGGCTGCGATGTGAGCTTTCAGCCTGCAGACAGAGGAACAGACTGTCAGTAGATTGTTTCAGTTCAAGCACTGAACTCTGGATCCTCCACTGAAACCTCCACTAGTCTCATTCACTAGGGCTCTATCCTGTTGTGTTTGAAGTGTGTTTTATGATCTGTGAGGTAAAAATACAAGTTTTTTCTAATGGAGTCTGGTGGGTCGTAGCCCCCCCTTTGTTTTGGTTTGAGACGCTGGTACTCTAGTGTGACATCCAGTGGCAGTGATTGTATAAGTGTATATATAACCTTTAACTTTTTAAGGTGAAGACTGAGAGTGAATTGAATACTGTTTGTGCGCAGGCAGTTGTTTCTAAATGTCTCTGCTTCCCTGAACTTCAATACAAACTAACCAACAACCACTGATCACACTGAGCAAAATCACGTTTTTGTCTCTTTGGGACGACACTTGGACAATTTTGAGAGACGATTTCCAGGTAACAATTGACTTTGTGCTATTTATCCTCTTTTTAACTCTGCTGAAGCATCATGTTAACTTCAACTTTCGATATACACATCAACAATTATACTTCATATAAAATGATATCCGTCAGTATTTTAAAGATCCACAAACTCTCCCTGTACAGAAGAAAGAAAACAACCAGGTCACTGGATTAAAGCAGAAGTCCTGTAAGTTCCTCTAAATTCATCAAACCTCATTTTTTAATGTGCTGATCAACTCTGACTCGGCTTGTTTGTGTCCGACTGTCCGAAAACCAGCAAAAAACACCAACTCGTGTCTTCTCAACACACTCACATGTTACATTTACAGTATGAGAGTTAGTTATATTTACTGTATAACTGTAAAACTTCAGTTAATATCTTTATTTATTTATTCCGGGTGCTGCTGTTGTGCATGTCGGCTCTCTGCAAAGGTTCTGCTACACTAAATGGAACAGAGCCTTCATTACTGTGTTTACCCTACTGTTTCATTTCAAAATGGCTGCTGTGAGAAAGGTCCTGTCTCACCTGTTGGTCACAGCGTGCCGGTCCTTCATCTCTGACCTCTCGAACCAAACGTGAGGACACGACCTCACCATTGACCTCTGCATGACCCCCATCAGCCCGCCGTGGATCTGACCCACCTGTGGACGACAGAGAGTGCTGAGTGTGACATCACATCAAAACACGTGGCGAGAGAGACGCACCCGCGGACGACACTCACCATGGCGTAGCAACCGTCGTTGGCCAGAATCACCACGTCGATGGGAGTGGTGTGGTTGGCGACACAGATTCCTCCTTTCTGAGGTTTGTTTTCTCTGTGGGGACGAGAGGACAAAGTGTTAGCGGCTCCTGATCATAAACAGTAACATACCTGTTGTGGTAGGGGATAACATACCTGTTGTGGTAGGGGATAACATACCTGTTGTGGTAGGGGATAACATACCTGTTGTGGTAGGGGATAACATACCTGTTGTGGTAGTGGATGGTGGCTGACAGCCCTCTGGCACAGATCCTGTAGCAGGTCAGATGGACCAGTTCACTCAGCCAGTTCTTCACACTGACCAACACAAAATATACAAACTTCATCTGAGAACATTAAAACCACAACTTTACACCAGGAAACTGTTTCTTTAAAGGTGTTGCTGTGTTGTTGTGTTGCTGTGTCTCGTTGCTGTGTTGCTGTGTCTCGTTGCTGTGTTGCTGTGTTGCTGTGTCTCGTTGCTGTACCTGCTCTCGGGCAGAAATCCAACCAGAACCGTTCCGATCACGAGCCACGAGAGGCCGATGATGGCCAGCGTAATCCTGCAGGAACACGAGAGAGAGGAAGTGTTAAAAAGTCTCTTATGACTGACGTCGAAGGAGCATCCTGGATTTTTGGAGTCTGATGGTTCGTGTCCACAAACGTTTTTGGACGTGCAAAACTCACTTTGACGCTTCCCAACCAATTCACCTGAAACTTTCTGCTCCGGGATTTCAAACTGAACCAACATGGCGACTTGTCTGGAAACAGTTTCCTATATTATGACAATAGTTCACTGAAATTTGTTTCTGAAAACATTTTAAGCAAGAAATAATATTTGTTTTATTTTATTGATGGTAAACATGTGAAATGTTACAGTCAGCTGTAACCGGTAGAAACTACTTCTTGGTCGCCTGTAGTGAAAGTCCCCAGACTCCCTGTAAGTGAGGACAAACTTTATAAACTCCCTGACAGTCTGAGGACCAACCTGAGAGGGAAGAGGACGCAGTAGCGTACGAAGACGCCGAGGCCCCAGATGACGGTGAGGCGGAGGCTGATGTAGCGGAAGTTGTGGTTGGTTCTGGTGAGGAGGTTCCAGGAGGCCAGCTCCTCGGAGGAGAAGCGCTGGGTCACCTGGTCGTCCACGATGCTCTCCAGACCCTTCTTGTAGAAGTAGAGGGCGTCGCTCAGAGCAAACTCGCCTCCCACCAGCGAACGAGAGCTCCGCGGCTGCCCCATCTCCTCCTCC